TCTAGCTTGTCTTCCTCTAAGAAGTCACCAAACTGTACTAAACTGTTTCTGAGGTTGTGAATGTGCTAATCTCTGCTCCTTTTTATTTCAGGTACTCTGAAGCAGCAGGTGCTATGGAACATTCCTGCTCCTGTTGTAAAGAGAAACGAATCAACAATCGCACCATCGATCTGGCGTGTGAAAATGGCGGGCACGTCCAGTTCACCTATGAGCACATAGAGGAGTGCGGCTGCGGCCACACAGAGTGCACCACGCCTGCTGGACATCTTCGAAGAAAGCGGCGCTTCACACTGCAGTGAAAACCTTTACTCACAAATGTGAGATCGAGATATATATATATATAACCAGATTCCTTTAAATAATTACAAAGTCTCCTATAAAGTATAACAAACTTTCTGGAGTTCATTTATCAGCTGATTCAATAAAATTATGCAAGTGACTTCAATTCTCCTGTCTTTCTTCATTTAAATATACTGAGAGTTTTGTTTTATGCTTTATAAAACATGTTGTTATAAATACAGGAAAAGGCTATTCATGATTTTTAATTGGTTAAATACCACAATTACTATAGATAAAAAAAATTGCAGTGTATATTTTTGGATAGATTCTATCAGACTCCTGTAGCATGAAGCTGGATTACCTGCATAAAGGTCTGGCACTGCTTTGGCACATCACCCCCTAGAATCACAAACTGTTAGTAAGGCACTAAGAGCCTGGGAGAGAGTCAACAAAAACATCAGGCTAAGGAAATGCATCAAAGCACTAATAACAAAAAATATTAAAAATAAGAGGTTGTAAAGCTTGTTATTAGATAAGCAATACAAAACAAAATAACATGCCAAGGAAAAATGTAGAGCTCTCCAGGCTTCCCTGTGGTTCCCCTTTCCCTACCTGCCAGTACTTTTTGATTATGCAAAACTTGTGCTTGGAAACAGAATCAAGAGTCAGGTGCAGAAATGAGAAGAAGGAAAAGCGAGATGAGATGATGAAAATGAAATGGCCTGGTAAAGTTAATGTTGAATGAGCCTTGCAGCTCGGGGAAGTTAACACATGCTAATTTCCGTTTCACACTCTTATTTTTTGGAACTTACCTGCACTTTAGTTCTTTGAAAATCAATGGTATTTCTACAATCTGTTAACCTCTCAGCCTGTAACCCACCAGTCAGTGGCTGCTGAAAGGGGCAGAAAGAGAAAAACCCCATACAGTTGTTTTTTTTTGTTTGTTTTTTTTTATATAATATATATAGGTGGAAAAAATAAAGACATGAGAAATTATCACAAGCTCAGAAGGTAGGACCCAGAATCCGACAGAGAAGCTGCTGTGTCTCTCCTTCAACAGTGTAGCTACTCTGTACGCAGTGAATAGCAACCCCAATAATATAATGTCTCAAAGCGACAGATCAGAGGAAGTTTCACCGATAGACAGGACTCAGGAGCAGAGGGAGAGAGAAAAAAAACACGGACTCAAAACGCTCTGAACACAGATAGCTGCGTCACGTAGCGTTATTAGGTGACTGCCTGACAGCCCCTCTGCTGTTATTCTGCCTCTACTGTGTGCGGGTAAGAAAAGATCAGACAGTCAAAGACAACAAAAAACATTTTAAAACAATTATTGTCATTTTGTATATCCAGAGTTTATATTTTAAAAATTGTTTAGTAGAG